AAGATTACGGCTGTTGCAAATCACAAACCCATCGCCGGAAGAGCCGTTGCAATCTTCGTTATGTTCTAGACTACAGTCATCTTAGTCTTTGCCCTCACCGTGATGAAAATCAAAAGTCCTAAAGTCCGGCTTGGTTCTGTCACGGTTGAATATTTCAGCGCAAATACCACCAATTCAGCTTCTTTAAACATGAGATTGAGACCCAAAACTGGAAGCTCTGAGCATGTATTCAAGACTAGTTCCGGTGAGCAAATTACAAATTCCTGGCCAGTTGTAGTTTCAGTCCGCCGACCAGACCCAGCAACCTCCATTATTTCCGGCGCAGCTTCATTCACATCATTAATGTCCGGCGAAGCTCCAAGCTAGCACGAACAAGTAGAAGAAGACCATAGTACGTAGCAGCAACATGTTCCAGCTGAGGCGAACATCAGTTCCAATTTGTTCCAGTCCGGCGAACTCAATTACTGTGTATGTCAGTTTTGGTCTAAATCAACAGCAAATCCAGCAAGTTGCAAAGTCTAATCTCTTCCGGCAAGATACACAGTGGCGCCTCAGCCCAGCGAGCCCAAACAGCAGCGTACCGGCCCAGAAAAAAAATTCATCCCATCTTGTATCAGTTCAAACACGCGCCCATCAGTGTATGTTGGGTCCTTGTTTATTGAACTCACACATATATACACATGTGGTTTGGATGGGTCAAGAGCAGAAGAAGATTACTTTGTTTGTAGTGCTCTATGTGGTGAGGAAGCAGAGGAATAGAGTGAGGTTAAGAAGGGCTGTTTGGGCTGTGCACGTAGAAAGAAATGGGTATATGGTGTATAGCTAACCCCCACCAAAGTGGAGAAAAAGTTGCCGAAATAAAGGGTAAGTTTGTCAGTTTACATACCAAAACTTGTTTTAATGGTAAAAACCTTGGGATGATATTATGAGGCATATGACAGCCACCAGATGGCAGTATAGTGCTTCGATTTTAATCTTACCGGCAAGTGCTTGAATGTTCAAAAAGAATACTTAGAATGTAAAATGGCCTAGGTACAAGTGGCCATTGCAGATGAGAAATGAAATTGTACACTTCTTTTTTCTTGTTGATTATGGGTTTAATTATCCATACATTAAAGGCAAAAATAAAAAAATAAATTAGCCTTGATTGGTCCCAACAGGCTGAACATAGAAACGGGCCTAAATAAATACAACTCTACAAAAATTCGGTATGAACCCATTTTCAAAGAGTTGGGGGCAGTTGTTAACACCCAAATTTGACCCACAATCATATACATATTATTTTTTGCATTTTTGGGCTAACAACAATGAAAGAGTGACCTTTTAGTTCTATTTTGGTGAAACTCCCTATCATCTTGAAACACTCATATGTTACAAAGCTATCAAATGAGATGTTACAAGAATTGGGTGAAGTTGAAAGCTTTTAGTTGACCAATGTTAGTATGCAATGTAAGGAAAGTTCAAAATCTTGAGCAACACTTTTTCATAGTTTTCCCATCTAAGGGTGAAGAATGAGCAAGGTGATGACCTGGCACACATCAAGCAATGGTAACATGGTTGGTGATTTGGAGAGAAATTCACTATAAATATCCAACCAAGGCTATAAGCAAGGGGACCCCCGAAACCAACATTATGCTTCTTTTTCTTATCTCCTTTAGGCCACTGGCCATTTTTATATTCTCCAAGCAATAGTTCATAGTGTAGTTTTATAACTCATCTTTTATTTAGTCTATCAGCTTTCATTTAGTTGTTGTCTTACTCTTTAGGATTAGTTGATTATCAATGTTTTCACTTTTATTTCCCATGCTCTAGTTTCTGTTACATTCTAGTTTGTACTTTGTATTTTCATTAGATACTAATGAAATATCACTTTGTTTTAAGAACAAGATGTATTCATTCAATTTGCCACCATTATTTTCTCTTTCATTTTACTCTTTGCATCATCTTCATCAACCATTTGAGAAAAATTTAAGTCCTTGTTACCAAGGCAACGCTAACCCGGTAGGAGGTGTTTTCCCTGCCTCCTCACAGTCGCCTAACCAATTTTCAAGACTAATCCAACATGGGGAATATGGTTTGGCTCATAGCCTGAGTCTGGGTCAAGGACTCTGGCACGCCCGCACTTCTCAAAAGCCGAAAATTGTGCAAACACTCCCACCATTTTCTAACCTTTTGAGAATGTTGGTGAAGAAATGGTGATTTCGACACCATTGAATCTGGTTAGAAGCAAAATTCAGCCTGACCAAAAGTTGGCGAGCTTCTAGGAACTGCGTGAACCGATCTCTAGTGACAAGCTTGCAAACATGCATGATGCTCTATCATCCACCCAGCCATCAACATGCAAACCCGTTTTTTAAATGAACACTGACCAACCAAGGAACGAACATGGTTCATGGTTCATACTGCCAATCATTGCAACATGTTTGCCATGGACCGTCGCCGGCCATGAAGAGATTGTCGCACCAGTCATCTTCTTCATGAAGTCACTGCCGCCAAAACTATCACCGTGGATGGACTCACCGCTGGAAAAATATGAGCTTCCACTGCAGAACACAAGCTGTTATTCTCTTCGGCGGCGTCGCCGCCGGTGATGGTGCCCACAACATCGGCCATCATCAATACTTGACAGTTTTTGATTTCGGGTGAGCTTCAAAACTGACCCATGTGGTGGCGTTAGTGAGCTCTGTGTACCACATACATGGGCAAAACACCGGCGATGAGCTTGATTGCAACACGGCCGTCATCTTCTCCAATGGCCTCGACGCCGAACATGGTGCTCACACCATCGTTCATGACCCATACCCAACGGTTTTGGGTTAAGTAAGTTTCCCAACTGACCCACGTGACGTCCCCACGCCCAGGCAATAATGAACACATGCATATATACATGTGTATATGGCAGCCGCAAGCTTTTGCATGTAGACTCCAACAGCGCCAGCGACCCTTCTATGAGCTATGGGCCGAGAATTTTGCCGGCGTTAGTAACGTTTGCGAGGTGAGATGGCGACTGGAAACACCAACGTTAATCACCAACGGCGTTAACCACCGTTTCCATTACAAGCTACAGCGTCGTCACCCCATCGGCGGCATCATCGCCGGAGATGATGCTCACGCCGTTCTTCATCATCCGTGCACCCAACAGTTTTGGGTTTTAAGTGGTCTTCAAAACTGACCCATGTGGTGACACCGGCGAAACTCCGTGATCAAAGCTCTGAGCTGCATAGGTTTATTTAAATGGGACGCCGTCGCCGGAGGAGCTGCATGGCATGGTTCGGCGTGGGTTGGTCGTCATTGATTGAAGCTCACCAAAGCCCACAATTGCAGAGTTCAAAGAATATTGCCGAGGTATATAGGTAAATGATTGCAAGGTGAGGACGGCTATTGGTTGTAGTTCGGCTTTCGCCGGATTCAATGGAAACTGGGTATGTCTTTGGCAACCTGTGTTCTCTTGAAAATATATATATATGCAATATGTAATATGTAATATGAATATACATATGTATTAACTGTGTACAGAGCACGAATTCTGGACGGCTCTTTAGGAGCTCAATGCCTGCTAAAACTGCAAGTTGCAGGTCAAAAGTATATATATACCTGTGCACAATTGTCATGCAGACCCATTTTTTAAATGGGCATTAACCAGCAGCCTGAAATAAATTGCCAGTTTAAAGCATATATGTACTTGAGCACAAATATTGGGCCGCTGTTTAGGAGCTCAATGCCTGCTGTATGCTTGCAACTTAATTTGACAAGACAAGAGGGAAACGCACCAAAAAATCACGTGCCCAATAACTGTTATATGAAGACATATTACACAATGGTCCAAAGACGAACATTAAATCTTTGTTGCTGACATGCTGATTTCCAATATTTGCTTCTGTTTCCATGTAATATTGGACGCTCAAACTACACGGCATCAAGTACAATAAAAAACATTTAAATAATGTTTTGCTATCCAACCTTTATATATCGCATTTAAATTTGCCAGACTGATCAACACCATCTTCAACAAAATCCATTGTTTTGCTGTGCAATTTGCAGAAACATTATGGAATTTTAGGTGAAGAATTGTAGATGCATTTGACCACAGAAAAGAGTGGCCGGAGCAAGTTTTGAAATGTGGCATACTAAAGTCAGCAAGTAGTAGTCAAGCAATTCACAAAAGAATCCAAATTCCAGTGGCCGCTCTGTCACCAATTTCCGGTGTGACATACCTCTCCGGCGATAATCGAACTCCTCAAGGCACTTCCAGTGAGTTTTTCTTCTTCCTCTTCATTAAACATCTCACTGAAAGCTGTTAATTTCACCATACAAGATGGCAAATCTCCAATTGTAACTTTACCATTCTGTTTCTTTGGCGAAATAAATTTCAATTTGAGGCTGCCAAGTTCAACCTGTATGAACTGACTTTGAAGCCATTGATTAGAAACAAGAACACCCACAAAATTAGACATCTTCTTCTAACCGCAGTTATAAAAAAAGTGACTCCTTGACTGAGGATTGAGAAGGTTTAAGAGGATGAAAAAGTGGCCATGTCTAAGAAGGAGTGGGATGAGCTCAGGGGTCATTTTATTTATCTGCAGAGAAAATGATAGGTAATGACTCTTATGAATTTTTGTACTCAATGGAACAATGAATGAAATGCATGTTTTCATGACTTGTGATTATTTAACCATCTATGGCTTCATTCTCCATCGTCTCCCACATTGTAGAATAATAAGTTTTTAAGTACCGGCCATTAATTGGCCGGGGGTGTATTTCCCCATCGATATCTTTCAAATGATATGCGCCTCCTTTTAAGACTTTGTAAACCATAAATGGACCCTTCCAATTTGGCGACCATTTTTCATATTTTTGATCATTCACACCTATTGGGAGGACAGTCTTCCAGACCAAGTCACCTTCGCTAAAGGTTTTGGCTCTAACACGTTTGTTATATGCCCTTGCTACTCGCTTTTTTTGAACTTGTATATGGTCGAGAGCCCTTAACCTCACTTCATCTAGGTCTTCCAAAACATAGATTCATTGTATTCCGCAGGAGTCAAATTGTTTTGCAATGCGAATCTCATTGACCGCACAGTCACTTGCATGGGCAAAACTGCATCATGACCATAGGTGAGCATGAATGGAGTCACACCTGTGCTTGACCGTTGAGAAGTCCTATATGCCCAAAGTGCTTCTGATAACAGTTCATGCCACACCCTAGGGTTATCTTCCACCATTTTTTCAATGATGCCTTTTAGCGTCTTATTAGACGACTCGGCTTGACCATTCCCTTGTACAAAGTGCGGGGTTGAGTTTAAGAGCTTGATCCCATACTCTGCTGCAAATGCCTGCACTTCTTTGGCAACGAGGGCTGAACTTCGATCAGTTGTGATTGATTCTGGGATCCCAAATCTATGAATAATATGTTGCTTGATAAACCGAATCACATCTTCCTGGTGCACTGACTTCATGGGCACCGCCTCGACTCACTTAGTAAAGTAGTCAGTTACCACAATGATAAAACAATGTTGTTTAGAAGAAGGTGAATAAACTTTCCCTATCAAATCCATAGCCCAGCCTCTGAAAGGCCATGGTTTTATGATTGGCTGTAACTCAATCGCCGGGGCCCTATGAATTGGCCCATGCCTTTGACATGCTTGACATCCTTTGGCATATGTGAAGCAATCTTTAAGCATCTCGGGCCAGTAATAAGCGTACCTTCTAATCAGCCACTTCATTTTTATTCCAGCTTGGTGAGCACCACATATCCCTTCATGGGTCTCTCCCATTACTTTCATGGCTTCTTTCTTACTGACACACCTTAAGAGTAGGTCATCTTTGATGCTTTTCCTGAATAGGTCTCCATCAATCATCACAAACTTAAGAGCTTTGATCTTTAGCTTCCTGTCAGCCTTAGGGTCTGGATTTTTGAGAAAATTAACGATTGGTGTTCTCCAATCATTCTCCTCTATATCCTCTTCCACCTCGATTGCAAAGACCTCTGCCAACAATTCTTCCCTCACCTTGACTGAGGGTAATGATCTTTTCTTTATTCTGATCAAATTCTCCATTATTCCTTTTGGCACCCTGACGCTAGATGCTATTTGAGCCAAATCATTAGCCTCTTTGTTATGGGATCTATAAACATGCTTGACCTTTACATCTGCAAATTCTTGTAGTAATTGCATGGCTATAGAGTGAAATGGTTTGAGGTGCCAACTTTGGCATCTGAAATTGCTGGACAACTGACCAATCACTAAACTTGAATCACCTATGATTTCAACAGTCTGTGCCCCCATTTCTAAGAGTATCCCCAGACCGATAATCAGAGATTCATACTCTGCTTGATTATTAGAACATTTGAAGTCTAGAAAGAAAGAATATGTTGTTTTCCTTCCATTTGGTGCAACTATTACAATTCCGGCCCCTCCGACATCATTTACACTTGATCCATCAAAGATCAGAGTCCAAGGAGTTAGTTGAATAAAACACAACTCCATTGCATCATAGACTCTAGGATCAACATCCAAGCATGGATGGTCGGCTAGGAAATCAGCAAGTGCTTGTCCCTTTACAGCCCTTTGAGGCACATATTGGAAACTGAATTCCATAAGGGCCAATGACCACTTGCCTATTCATCCAGAAATTATTGGACGAGAGAGCATATACTTAATTAAGTCAGTGGCACAAATCACATAAACTAAAACAGGTAGCATATATATTCTCAATTTGTGAGCAGCAAAATACAAAGCAAGACACATTTTTTCGATTGGCGTATATCGACGCTCAACCGGTGTCAAAATATGACTAAGGTAATACACTGCCTATTCTTTCCTTACTTCATTATCTTGGGCTAACAAACTTCCGATTGACTCATCCGCGGTTGAAATATATAACTTCAGCGGTTGTTTCTTCCTAGGCGGCATAAGGACAAGAGGATTAGCAAGATACTCCTTGATTGATTCAAACACATGTTGGTGATGCTTTTCCCATCAAAAGTCTTCCTCTGATTTGAGCTTTAAAAGCGGAGAAAAAGTATGGATCTTTCCAGCACAGTTTGAAATAAACCTTCCCAAGTATGTGATTTAACCAATCAGTCTTTGTAACTCCTTCTTATTGCGAGGTGGTTGAGCTTCGATGATCGCCCTGGCCTTATTCTTATCAACCTCGATACCCCTCCAATGCACCAAGAACCCTAGAAAGTTCCTTGCTGTCACTCCAAAGGCGCATTTAAATGGGTTCATCTTCAAACCATGAGCTCTCATTCTCTCGAATGATCTCATTAAGTCTGCCAGATGCTTCGCCTTTGTCGCTGATTTCACCACCACGTCGTCAATGTATACTTCCATAAATTTCCCAATCATGTCATGGAAGATTGCATTCATAGCTCGTTAATAAGTGGCTCCGGCATTCTTTAAACCAAAGGGCATTACCACCCATTCGAAAGTGCCTATAGCTCCCAGACATCTAAATGCCGTCTTATTAACATCATCTTTTGCTATGAATATCTAGTTATATCCCGAGTGACCATCCATGAATGACAGAATCTCATTCTTGGCAGCCGCATCAATCAATTGATCAGCTATAGGCATCGGATACTCATCTTTTGGGGTAGCTGAATTTAAATTCCTAAAATCTACGCATACCCTTATCTTCCCATTTTTCTTAACCACGGGAATGATATTGGATAGCCAATCACAATACCTCGTGGTTCGGATAAATCCTGCCTTGAGCAACCTCTCAATCTCTTCCTTTACTTTCATAGTCACCTCTGTTGACATACGTCTAGGCGCTTGCTTGAAAGGTCTAAAACCTTCTTTTATAGGTAGTCGATGTTCGACTAGTTGCCTTGGTAATCCCGGCATCTCAGTTTAATTCCAAGCAAAACAATCCTTATATTCTTTAAGCAACAAGATCAGTTCAGCTTTAAAGTCAAGTTCTAGAAGATCACTTATGTAGGTTAGCTGAGGCTCTTCTTCTGATCCCAAATTGATCTCCAACAAGGGATCCTGAACATCGGCCTTCAGATCCTCTAGCTTGGCTGGAGCTGCATCTAGCTCTTCTAACTTAATAACATCTCGACAATCCCCTGACTCATCTTCTTCTATGATTTCGGCCATATTGGCCGACATATCACTCCACAACATTGCCCGTCTTTTGGCGAGATACGCTCTCAACCGTGCCATGCTAGCTTTAAATGCTAGCATTTTCTCCTTCTCCTTTTGGGCTTGGTCCATTAACAACCTGTTGTTCATCAACTTCAACTGTCGGCCTTGGCTCGCAGATAACACTTGGCCTCGATAGTTCCTTGAATAAATCAGATAAGTCCCCGTCTGTCAGATTTTTCCTCATCGTCGCCTTCTCAGGCTTGCCATACTTGTCACACCTAATGAGCCTCACAGGACCCATTTCCTCCTCATATAAAACTGCATCAGCCGCATGGACCCGAGCTTCGAAAGGCTTATTGTCTCCCCATACGACTTGAATTTCATCCCCATCCTAGAAAATCATGAACTGGTGGAGGGTAGAAAGGATGCAGAAATGTGGGTGCAACCAATCACGCCCAATCAAAGCGATGTATGCCGCCCCTGCGTCGACCACGAAGAATGCAGTCATAGTCTTGCATTTTCCAACTGTCATTTCCAAGGTGACCACACCTCTGGTCCTGGCTCTGGCCCCCGTGAAATTACTGACTGTCAAGTCAGTGGGAATCAAGTCATCCTCCGTATTTTGCAGCAACCTCATGGTGTTCATCGGAAGGATATTGACCGCAGATCCATTATCTATCAGTGCCCGAGACACTGGCATCCCTTCTAAGAACACCCTGATGTAGAGTGGTTTCAAATGTTGAGACATTGCCGCAGAAGGCTTCTCAAAAATCACCCTAGCTGCCTGATCTCTCCCAATAGTCACTGACTCATCATCTCGTGGTTTAGCTCTTATCACAGCGACTTTCTGTTTCTTATCTTCGGTGATCGACTCGGATGGGTTTTCGATAATCTCTGGAACTTCCTGGCCTTCATCCTTAATCACCACAACATCTCCCTCCATGGTGGAGGGTTGATCAGGTTTAGCCTCAAAAATATGTGGTAAAGTAAGAACCATATTGCAATTTACAATTCCTTCGAACGAACTCAACTTGATACCCTTTGAACCATTATCCTGGTCATCCAAGTCGAGTTCGTTTTCACCAAATCCTGCTTCATCATCAGCTTCTTTCATGGATGAAGACGCACATTTCTCTTCCGTGCCTCCATTTCCATCTACACTATCTTCCTTAGATTTTCCTTTCGGATCACTTTTTGAATCTTGCTTAGCAGGTTCTCTTCTAAGCAAAGTCACCTTCTTTGGCCGTGGAGCTGAATATTTCTCTTCCATTCTTCGTAGCTCAGTTTTCATCCGCTACCACCGTCTCACTTGAGTGCGAGTCATGAATGCTGGCGGGAGATCCCTGACCCTAGAGAACTTTGGATGACTCACCCTTGACCATCGACCATCGTCAGTGGCTGGTGGCTTGACCATCCTTTGCCTATGGTTTGGGCTGTCAACTGATGTTCCAGTCTGGCGAGTCACCTTTGAGTCATGCTCCCTAGGCTTCCAAACGGCATGGGTCAAATTCCTTGCCCGACTGTTGGAGTTCACTTCTTGCCTTCGCTTGTGATGCTCATTGGTATTAGACCTTCTGTCAGGCCATGTTAATCGACTTGTCACAGGCACCCTAGATGAGGGTGACCTAGGTCTGTTCTCATGACGTGAACTTCCAGGACGTCGCCGAGTGTCGCCATGGAACCTCTCTCGGTCCCTTCCAATGTCTGTCTTGCACTTAGGGCATAATCCCTGCTTGATCAGCGCTAGTTAAGCTGCCTTCAACTCTTTTTCTAAGTCATCCTTAGACCTTGGAGTTTCCTCAACCATTGGCTTCTTTCCTTCAGCCTTGCTTTCTCTGTAAGCTGAAGTATCCTCAAAATCAATTCTTCTCCGTGGCCTGTTGGCCATTGAGATCTCAACCATGTTACTGCTGATCAAGGTTGGGAATGGATCGCTGTCAACGCTCATCACCTCTTTCTTCTTCTCCGGAAACTTCCATGCTCCCTTCTCGATCTGTGCCTAAATCACATTACGAAATACAACACAATTATTAGTTGCATGATTCCAGGAGTTATGATATTTGCAATATTCTCGACCTTTGATCTCGTCAGCTGAGGGTATTTTATGCACCCCAGTGACTTTGATAATTTTATCAGACAACAGGTGGTCAAAGATTTGCTTTGCTTTACTTATATCGAAATCATATTGTTTGCCAGCCTCAAAGATATTCCTTTTGGCTGAAGATAATGAGGGTTGAACACCACTAACAGTCTTTAAGGGCTTAGCTAAAGCTTTACATACATATGGTTTTTTTGAAATAATTTCAACAGCATCGACCTCTAGGTCGTCGTATATTGTATCAACCATGTGTATTTCATAATTAGGGTCCTTATAATAGGTCCCTCGAGATGAGTTTTTCCTCTCATACTTGGTGACCCTATCGGCTAATTGGAATAAATCTCCAAAATGAGTACCCTCGAACTTCTTTCGCAGTTCGAAGTCTAAACCACTAAGGGCCAAGTTGACAAACTCTTCTTCAGGTAAAGTAAGTTGGCACTTATTTCGTGCTTTCTTAAACCTAGCCAAAAATGTCTCAACATCCTCATTTGGCAACTGATGGATCCTAGATAAGTCAGACATAGAGACTTCTGGTTCTGTCCTATAGAACTGATCATGGAACACATCCTGCATTTGTTGCCAAGTATGGATGGAATTTGGTGGCAAGTTCAAATACCACTTGAAGGCAGTCTCAGTGAGAGTATTAGAGAATAACTTCATTTTATACCAATCATTGTTGCTGAGCGGCCCACATTTTAATGTGAAACGGCCAATATGCTCAAGAGTCGATTGGTTGCCTTCTCCTGAGAAAGTTGCAAAGTTCGGCACCCGGAAATTTTGGGGAAGATCCATCTGATCTATCTAATCAGGAAATAGGTGCCTGAAAGTAAGTCGAGTGGCCCTTTTCAAAGTTGGTCCATATTGTTCTTATATGACCTCAGCTAAATGCTCCCTAGTCATGACCATAGGCGGGGCTTGGTTCTGAAAAGGAACATTGGGCCAAGGGTTATGCCCCTCTTGCCCCCTTGGGTTCCCAACCTGAGGTGGCAAGACTTGAGGTTGAAAATGAGAAGGTCGACCATTAGGTTGGTCATGATTCCTCCATCTTGGTTGTTGGTGACCATTCATTCCTGGCTCTACTGGATGGACTTGTGGTGGAATTGGAGCTACTGGTCGAGGACCATTAACCATTGGGGGTGGCTGGGCACCTCTCTCTGGTTGACCAACTTGTTGAGGAGGAAACTGGTCCGCTGGTCTATCATTTTGGTTTTCTAACTTAGGCGGCTGAGCAATCACCTGCCTATCAATACGAGTCACTAAGGCATTAATCACCTCATTCAACTGTTGGAGCTGAGTATTAGTCATGTGGGATGAAGCCACCAATGGCTCCATATTTTTGTTGATCTCCCAAGCGACTTGGCGTTGGGAAGCCTCCACTCTACTTTCAAATCGTGTCACCATATTGCTGACACTTTCGGCCGCCATTTGGTGGCTGGCCTGATGTCTCTCTTCATACTCAGACCCGAAATCTTGCATGATAGGAGCAAGCTGATTTTCTTCCTGATTTTCCCTTTGAGGGTTAGCTTGTCCAGCTGAAGTTTAAGTCTGTGACCTAGACTCGACGACCATTCACAAATAAAACACTTGTCCCACTGGGCGTGCCAAAGTTGTTTGGCTCACAAAGTGGTCTGAGATCGCTAGCCAATGAATGGCTGACCTAGAACGCGGGCATGCCAGAGTCCTGATGGACTCGAATATTTCTTGCCAAACTATTCCTATTGGGTCGGGTCACCGACCTAAGGTGATTCAGGCCAAAGTTGGAGAGTAGGAATGACCCTCTCCTTAAGGTTGCTATTGCCTTTAAGAAAGGACTTTAAACATTTAAGATGAATATCAATTAGAAGTAACTTAAACTAAACAATAAATATACTTGAATCTGCAAACCTTTCTTCAGTGAACTTGACTAATTACAATGATGAATGAATTACAAACTCTTGATTGAAATGGAAACTAAAGTATTGAATACTGAAAGATGAACTAAGTACTAAACTGATAAAACTAAGCTGAACTTGATGAAATAAAAGCTAAGTGCTAAACTGAACTTGATGAAATAAAAGCTAAGTGCTAAGTGATATGAATGCTAAAGGTTGAACTTTAGAAATGGTCTTGGACCTCTTCCTTGTGGGGCTTGAGTGGGTATTTATAGAGGCTTCCACCTGGTGTTGTCCCTTTCAACCGT